TTTGAAGGTTGGTTAACATATTTTCCAGATCAACTTCAGGTTTAACTCCCCAGAAGACTACCAGTGAATTCTTTTTTTTTTTTTTTTCCTTAACACAAAATCTAAATGTTGATAAACACGGGAAGATGCCGTTCCTTTGGTGACTCTAGTTTGCAGTACTGAGTATAAGTGTGGCTAATATTACACCAATTAAAAGGCTGACGTGCACATCGCTTGGGGTGTTTTATAGACAATTTGCTTTTTATGTCATCAGAATATTCCAGTGAGAATGTTTTTGACTCAGAGGTAATAGAAGCCTGGCTCTGGAGCTGGCCTTTGCTAAGGTAACATATTAATGAGTCATCAGAAGCTATAAATAGAACTCAGCATGAACTTCTGTCCACAAGTACACCACTGTTCCCACAAAAAGAGCTTTTACTAATGACAGAACATGGTCTGCGTGCCACTGTTGCAACTAAGGGGGGGTGGACCTAGATAACCACAAACTTGTGGGAAATGTAACTTGAGGTATGATTTGCCAAGATGTCATTATGTACTTTCTTGGTCTCCCTTACAGGCAGGGAAGAAGCTCTTGTATTGTTTTCCTTAGGGATCGTCATTATGTAGGCCAGCCAAGATTTTCAATCTCTCTCACATGATAAATCCCAGACAATAACTGCCTTAAGGCAGTTATTTATCTTCTTTCTCTTTGTCTCTTACCCCTTTCCTCCCCAGCATATAGTATACTAATCATATAGAACAATAACGTTTGCATAGGAGGGCTCCATAATTATTTATTGAATGCATAGATGGATGGGTAAGCATGTTAATTTTATGCCTCCATATAATACTCTGGCATTTTGACCTTTCATATATACAAGTCAATAGAGTCAAGTCAATTTCCTACGTAATATGCAGTATGTTCCCCCATCCAAAAATATATCTCCACGAGACTCCCTACCATGTTTCCTCACACTTCTGCCCTGCTCATTTCTTGAGGTAATAGTGGGGATAGGATAGTGGGGATAGGATAAAAAACCACCTGCAAGTAGAGAGAGGGTGAACATGTTAAGATTCTGCCATTCACCATACCTTAAATCCAATTTCACACCAGTTCTAAAGGGAAGATAGGATACAGGAAAAAGAAGATTGAGGAAAGCGGAGTGGTCAGAAATGGTCTAGTACATAGTCTTGCTGAGGTAGACAGCCACAGAACTCTCCGCCCTGGGAGTCTATAAAGGCACCAAGCTCTAGGGGAAGAAGTCCAGGAAGGAAGTTAAAGAGGCAGCCAAGCCAGTTATCTTCCCTACGAATTTCCCCCTGGTTGTCCCTTCTCCTCATGACTAAGTCTGTAGTATCTGCCCCTGGGCCTACATCAGCCTGGGAAAACAGGGGAGGCAGGAAAGGCAAGGTGTATGTAGAGGGCTGTAAATTCCTTTTTGCTCATGGTCAGATGCAGTCTGGGTGGACAGGAAGTTCAGTCCGTGATCTCTTTCTTACCAGTTCCAGTTTGAACTGTAACCTCCTTGTGGTCCCACCCCCAGTTCCCACACCTCTCCTTTCCCCTCCCCCACATCATACAAAATATCTTTCCTCCAGGCCATCCTTCCACCTGTGCTTTATTTTAAGTGCAGTCTTGTCTGCCTTTCTCGTCTTCATGTTTCAGTTCATGAGACCTAATGGGGAAAAGGCAATGATGTCCAGGCAAGTGGAGAAGACAAGTGTCAAAAATTCTGCAATATTGACACCAATTTATCTAAAGAGGCTTCCATTCCAGGGAGAAAGGAAAAGGTAGAGAAAAGACTCCCCTGGCAGACTAGGGCAGTGTCCTCTGGAGCTAGTAATAAGAAGGCCAAAGTATGTCTTTTTCAGATTCTAAGACTCAGTCCTCCCAGAGATGCACAGAGCTTGGGATGACACTTGCCTTTCAGAAGGACTCCGCGAAGCCCACTGGGGTGGTGGCTTAGGGAAACCCTAACGGACTGAACTCAACTCTAAGCTCTAGTTCCCAACCACCTTCTTCCGTTGGCTTGTTCCCTCATTGACAAAGCAGCTGGGAACACACGAATCCCGGAAGAGGAAGCTGTTCGTGTAGGAGGATCCTCTGGTTTCAAAGGTGACCAGAAATACAAGTGACACAGGAAAGACAAAAACAGAAAGCATAAGGATATAGGGATGTCGATGAAGGAAACAGAGCCCAAAGCAGGATTTGAATGGGTAATGGAGGACCAGAGAGACCCAGAGGATCTTCTCTCTCTCCCTCCACTTGAGTGTTTACAGCAAAAGATAAACCCAGAACTAAGGTCACTTATTTCACTGTCCTATGCTTTTTTTAATCTCACAACACTGTCTGGCTGTTCTGGCTCGTATCTGCAGGGCTAGCCATACTCTGGCACAGTCAAGGTTATGAATATAAGGCCGTCTGTGACACATCTTGTGTCAGTATAATGAGGGATGATCTATTCAAATGTTGCAGTAAGCAGTTGTATCTCTACTGGTGAAAAGTAAAAACCCCAGGGGGGTGGGAATTGATAGCCAGCCAATACCAAGCATCCAAAATTATTCTGTAAAATGTCTCAGCAGACTCTACAGCTGGCATGTCCTTGGTAATCCTCCGTGAGAAGAATCTCAGCCACACTGCTTGACTCCAGGAGAAGCTGGACCCGGGCTTGATGTTAGTTCCTTAGACTGGTTAGACCAGAGCAGAATTGTGATGACCTAGAATTCTGCATCCATTCAAACCAGGAGCAACCTCCAAGAGGGCGCTTAAACTACGGGTTTACCTTCTAACCACCAAGACTCATTAAGACTCCCCAAACTTTCTAAAGAAAATTCAGTTTGTTACAGATTCATGAGTTGAAGATAGGGCCCAAGTCTCCGTCTGTTATCCTGAGGCCAGCCTCTAACAAGTACAGACGTCGTGAACGTGAAGCCCACCCAGATACAGCCCCCCCAGACCAGGACTTCCAAACATCAGAATCACCTGAGGAGCATCTTTTTTAATTGAGGTAAAATTTATATAACGTGACATTCACTGTTAATTTTAAAGTGTACAGTTCAGTGGCATTTCATATATTCACAGCGTGTATATCCATAGCCTGTATCTCTTTCTAAGACATTTTCATCACCCTAAAAGGATATTCTGTACCCATTAAGAATTCATACCTGGGAAGAAATTGGAGAGGGAGGGGCGCCTGGGTGGCTCAGTCGTTAAGCATCTGCCTTCAGCTCAGGTCATGGTCCTAGGGTCCTGGGATCGAGCCCCGCATCGGGCTCCCTGCTCAGCGGGAAGCCTGCTTCTCCCTCTCCCACTCCCCCTGCTTGTGTTCCCTCTCTCGCTGTGTCTCTCTCTGTCAAATAAATAAATAATAATAATGATAATAAAAATCTTTAAAAAAAATTAAAAAAGAAATCAGAGAGGGAGACAAACCATGAGAGACTCTGGACTCTGGGAAACAAACTGAGGATTGCAGAGGGGAGGGGGGTGGGGGGATGGGGTGGTGGTATTAAGGAGGGCACGTGGATGTAATGAGCACTGGGTGTTACACGAAACTGATGAATTGTTGAACACTACATCAAAAACTAATGATGTACTATATGTTGGCTAACTGAACATAAAAAAAAAAAGAATTCATACATGGGGAGCATTTTAAAAGTACATATCCCAAGGCCCCACACCCAAGAGATTGTAATTCAGTGAACATAGAAGTGTTTTCCACAAGATTCCAGGTATCCTGTTCCTAGATATTCTCTTCCCAGAAGAAATGAAAATGTATGCCCACCAGAGATCTACATATAAATGATTATAGCAGCTTTTACAGTCATTCTAACTTGGGAATAACATAAATATCTCTCAATTGGAGAAAAAAAACAAACTGTGATAAATCCTTGTAATGGAATGGTACTCAACAATTAAAAGGAATAAATTTTTGATACAAAAACAAGGATGAGTGGAGCCTGGGTGGCTCAGGCTATTAATTGTCCAACTCTTGATTTCGGCTCAGGTCATGATCTCAGGGTCGTAAGATCGAGCCCTGCATTGGGCTCCATGGTGAGCATGGAGTCTGCTTAAGATTCTCTCTCTTTCTCTGCCCCTCCCCCTGCTCATGTGCACACACTCTCTCAAAAAACAAAACAAAAACAAAAAAAAGGATGAGGGAGACTGGGTGGCTCAGTCGTTAAGCGTCTGCCTTCGGCTCAGGTCATGATCCCAGGGTCCTGGGATCGAGTCCCACATCCGGCTCCCTGCTCTGCAGGAAGCCTGCTTCTCCCTCTCCCACTCCCCCTGCTTGTGTTCCTGCTCTCGCTATGTCTCTCCCTGTCAAATAAATAAATAAAATCTTTAAAAAAAAAAAAAAAGGATGCTTCTTTAGTGCATTATACAAAGTGAAGGAATCCACATTCCATACTGTATTCCATTTATATGACATTCTGGAAAATGCAGATTAGTGGTTTTTTAGAGGTTAAGGGTGGAAAGCAGGTAGTTTTGGGTAAAAAGAGGTAGCACAAGGGAATTTGGGGAGGGGTGGTGAAACAGTTTTGTTTCTTGACTGTGATGGTGATAATAAGCGTTTGTCCAAATGCGTAGAACTTGACATCAAAAAGTGAATTTTACTCTATTTAAAGATTTTTACTTATTTATTTTGAGAGAGAGAATATGCACGCATGAGAACAGACACACAAGCAGGGGGATGGGCAGGGGCAGACAGAGAGAGAGAAAATCCCAAGCAGTCTCCAGGGCAGAGCACCGAGCCCTATGCAGGGCTCAATCCCACAACCCTGAAATCATGAACTGAGCTGAAACCAAGAGTTGGACGCTTAACCAACTGAGCCACCCAGGCACTCCTTACTTTATTTAAATTTAAAAATAAATTGGAAAACATTTTAAGCCTCCCTGGGTGTTTATGATGTGTAGCCTGTTTGGGAAACGAGTACATAGATAATGCTGGACAACCTAGTTATTCTATAACCCAGTCGAGTTGCACTTTGGACACCGGGGACCAACCAACTTACCATTACTATTTCTCTGGTTATCCTCACAGTATTTGGACAGTTCCACAGACTAGAAGTACAGCAGTAAGTTGCCGTGCCCAAGAGTATGGTATGTATCTGATTGTTGATAGATCACAGGACATGGGCTATGCAGTGGTTTTGTGGCAGTGTTTGCCAAACTAAAATCACCACACCAAATGTGGTGACTTTAGAGCTTTATTTTAAAATATGAGTTATGGGGCGCCTGGGTGGCTCAGTCGTTAAGCGTCTGCCTTCGGCTCAGGTCGTGATCCCAGGGTCCTGGGATTGAGCCCCGCATGGGGCTCCTTGCTCAGCGGAAAGCCTGCTTCTCCCTCTCCCACTCCCCCTGCTTGTGTTCCCTCTCTTGCTGTGTCTCTCTCTGTCAAATAAATAAATAAATAATCTTTAAAAAATAAAGAAATGAAAAAAAATAAAATATGAGTTATGCTTTATCTCTTAGATTAATTGTAATCAGAATAATATGGAAATCATTTCCGGTAATGGAGATTAGAATGCAACCTATGAATTTTCCAAGAACATCATGTTTCACAACTGAAACATCATATTTAACAAATCATCATGTTTAATAATTTAATTTTATAATCAACCCCAAATCAGAAACCGAAGACAAGTTTTTATATGATAAATCCAACAATCCTAACCAACTCCATTGTAGGTCATTTTGGTTATTTTCCTAAAATTTGATACCTGTTTCACATAAAGGAAAACAATGACAATGACTCTCTCACAGAGTCCTGGATCCCTTTATTTGTGAAAATCTATGGAAAACAAATGAAAATCACGGGCAGATGTTTATGTAGGACACCAGCCCTGTTAGTTGTGAGGCTAGCCTTGTGCTCAATCTCACTTGAAAAAGAAAAAACAAACAAAAACCCATATCCTGCTGCGGCTGATCATCTACTCAAACAAGGTGGCTAAAATACAAATAGAAACTCCCAGGTAAAAGAAGAAAAGAAGCAAGAAGTAGGCAATGGTTAGATTCGAAGATAATGCTAATTGCAACTGTGAGACGAAAGGGGGGAAAAACACCACAAAACAAAACATGTAGTGAGATAGATCCTATCTGATGTTTCTATCCCTGTAGAGTATATTTTCTAATTTGCAAATCTCTTTGCTTGCCCTAATCTCAAACTATTTCTAACACTCTTGCTTCCTCATCAGTTTGCAAACCCTAGCTACAGCTCTCTCTGAGGCATTCCGTTCACATTGCTTCTTTTTTTAGAGCTGCTTGTGCCCGAGAGGGAGGAAATGGAGCTACAAGTGTTTCCTTTCCATTCACAACTGGCACTTTCTTGTAGTGGGGGAGGTAGCTGACGGCTAGCAGCTTGCTCCCAGCAGCTTGAGATAGCACTGAGTTTTCTTTCCTCTAAGCCTCTCTTGAAGTCCTTGTATTATAAATTATTTATAAATTTTATCACAACCTCCAGGAAGCAAGCTGGACCAATTTTCCTGGTGCCAGATGGCTCAGCAGACTTTTCAGATGTTGGTACTCTGTTGGACATCCCAGCTTCTATTGCCCCACACCCCAAAAGTACATCCAGCTAGAAAGCCCATAAAAAGGTCATTATTTCATGTGTTCCCTGTGCAAAACTTCCTCCACGAAGAAGGAGTTTGACCCTTCCCCAAACTGAGAATGGGGAGTTTTCCTTCATCTTTGCCATCTAAGCACCTCTAAGTGGGGAGGAGTATGTACAGATCTGGGCACCTAGCTCTAGGCAGGTGTTCAATTATATGTGATCCACATATATATATGATCCATATATATATGATTTAAAATAAAAATAATGTTGGGGAGTTGTACAAATTTGATAGTAAACAATGACTCCTCAGGAAAATTGCCATGTATGCGATATAAGTCAGAATTCTTTTGGGTGTAAGTGACAGACCATATGTGAACTAGGTCAGAGAGGGAGAAGGGCATCTATTGGCTCATGTAACCAGGAAGTACAAGGAAAGGAGTGACTCAAGGGCCTGAAACCCCTAGTTCACTTTTCCCCTCTGCCTCTTGCTTCTGCTTTTCTTTTCAAGTGGAGGACAAGGCAGGATTTGGGGACCCACAGTTCAGTCTCACCAGCAAAGAGGAAAGAAAGAATGTAGCATGCATGTGTATACACACACACAGACATTCCGATCATATTTGGAATATTTAGATAGCATATTGGAGCAATGGGGTGGAAAGGACCTCTTCCCCCAAAAGAAGAGGGAGAGCACAGACGTGGTCCCTGTGGAAATTGTTCTGAGCCAGAAATAGATTATTTTTCTCTTGAGGCTTCATATTCTCCAGAATACATTTAGGTCAGTTTAAGAAGCACAGACATTATGTCATATGGTATCTCGGACGGCCTCAGACTTGATGGCCTGTGAAGATTTCCCTAGTGAAACACTGTATTTGTTCTCTGATGGGACATTTTGATGGATGGTGAGAGCTTCAGGAATCTGTGGGAGACAAGACAATGAGAAAGAGTTAAAAACCCTTTTTAGAAAAAAAAAAAATTAAGCAGAGTGTTGGGTTATGGAAAGAGAGAAAAGGATGGAAGGAGCAAAGTGAGAGAGAAAAAAGAGTCAGTGTGAAACTGGGCATTACATTAAAAAATCCCCAATAGTGAAAAAGCCAAGGAATTCCTAAAGTTAGGAGATGTAACATTAAATTTGAAGTTGTTTGTGTTTCTGTAGAATAGATCCTATGACAGAGAAAGATTCGGTGTTCTACAAAATACCCTTTTCTTCCCGGGCTCGGAACTAGTCCTAAGGACTACATTTCCCAGCCTCCCTTGCAGTTAGGTACAGTCACGTGACTAGTTCTAGCCAATGGAATGTTGGCAGGAGTGATGCCGCCACCCCCAGGCCTGGTTTACACAACTACCACCCTCCCCTCCCCCCTCTTCCCTCTCCTGCAGGCTGGCTGTGGAAGATCAGGTGGAGGGCTCCATGACCCCCACAGATGTTAGAGCCACCAGATGACCGAAACCTCTGTCTGTGAAGGACTGTATGGATCAGGCCCCTTGCCACCTCCTCAGGACTATGATATGAGTAAGAAAATATCCTTTTGCTATTGTTAAGTTATTGCAGTAGAGGTTTGTTTGTTATAGCAGTTGACTTATCCTGACAAATGCAAACTTCTTCACTGTCCCCTCTCAGATCTTCACAATACATTCAAATGTCCTATGAGAGTGGGAGTTCTGTGGCAATCATAAGGTGGCTGAGTTTCACATCTGGGTTAGCAGGGCATGGAACAGAAACCACATTTACAGGAAGCAATATATTCCATAATTGAAACCCACTGCAAAAGCAGGAGGCCGAGGCCAGAAGTGACCATGAGAGCATAAACTTCTTGGGAATTTGCAGAAGTGTTTGAGTGGGCTTTGGCTTCTGCAGAGCATGGAATGAGGGAGGTTTTAGGAAGTTACCAAGATCTGAAGGGAATGACATGTGGATTATGTTGTTACTTTTCGCAGTACAGGGTGCTAGGAGTGATAAAAGGTTTTGACTCACATGTCTCAAGGATGGAAACTGAATAATGCTTCTGACCACAAAATCCTGAAATAGTACTTAAATCCCTTGGATGATTGCAGAATTATTTTACTTAGAGAAATCCCTGATAGACAGCTGAGTGGGGTCTGTTTAACTGGCAGTGAAAGGGCAGTCAGAATCTATACTTCCCTGGCTGTCCGACCGAAATTACATTCTCCCCATTTTTGTCTCCCATCGCATACTGTGGTTTTCCCTTAAGGCATTAATTAGGTATTTGTTGTGGCATTTTTTTTAGGTGTGTTTCCCCTGCTAGACTCTAAGCTGCATGAAGACAAGGACTGTGTCTCTCTCATCCCCCAATATACACCTGGCACCTGGCATAGTGCCTGGCACACGCTTCATGAATATTTGTTGCAACAAAATGAAATCTGTACCTGTGAGATCCTCAGATAAGCACCTGTTAGCCTCCGAGAATTCACTTCCTAACTTAGGTTTGGCAATCAGATATTTTTTTAGCTGTTTGATAATTTCAAAATGCATTAGTACTTTATGTAAAGAAAAAATGGCCTTTATCATATATGAATATGGTAAGAGTTCTCATATGTGAACTTGATAACAGCGATAGCTATGTAGGGTTGTTATTATTATAATTATTGATAACATCTGCTTCTCCCTAGAAAATATGTGAATCCTTTCCCCATAGATTATAGCCTAGTCTGAGTTTCAAACTAAGAGTGTCTCTTTCCCCTCAATCCCGGCAGCACATTGTTAAGTAAATAGCCTTCCTGGCTGAACCTCAGCTGACCTGCCTACTGGAACCTTTTTATCAGAGTTCCAGGAATGATCACTTCTGTTTTTTAAGAACAAGATATTGAAAGAGCATAGTGGTATCCTTTTTTTTTTTCTGATGGCTTTGTATAAGTCTGGCAGTTCTACCTCAAATAGTATAGCTTAAACTCATATTTATGCTTTTCCTCACCATTTCCACCCTCCGCCAGCCACTGGAATCCAAAAGTCCAAACTCCTACCCTCATACCTTTTTAGCAGGTTTTAATCATTTTGTGCAAATTTATGTTGAATATATACTTTTCCTTTGTTTGCTTATAAGCTTTTGGGGCAGATTCAGCAAATACCTACTGATTTTCTTTATTCCTTCATTCTGACATTAAGTCCCTAGGATAATTATTGTTTTTTAGAATAGCAGAAAAAAATGAAGAAGAATGTCTTGGTTCCTAACAAAGAAGATGCAGATCTGTGGTTGGAATGATTAGGATTTAATTCTGAGGTGACACTTGATCAAATGTTCAGCACATAGTTAGCCCTCTGTAAGTATTAGCTTATTGTTAGCTTCTCTCAATGGCTTTCCAGAGCCTAATAGTGAGAAAGATTATAAAGCCACTTCTAAGCTCAGAGGGGAAAAAAAAAAAGAGAAATGGAACGTCTTGTTGTGGATCTACAGTCTAATGCCTTAAACTTAAGCAAGCTCAGAATAACTTACTGAGTTAGTAAAGTTCACAGCGAAGCTGAACAGAAGTGAACTTTCGATGACTTTAAACACTGGTAGAGTCTCCAAATGTCATTTACGGCCAGGAGCGGCAGGGTGCAGTCCAGGAGCCCCTAGGCACATGTGGCGATTTGAATTCATTAAAACTAAACCGGAGGGGGAGATGAACCATGAGAGACTGTGGACTCTGAGAAACAAACTGAGGGTTCTAGAGGGGAGGGCGTGGGGGAATGGGTTAGCCTGGTGATGGGTATTAAAGAGGGCACGTTCTGCATGGAGCACTGGGTGTTATACACAAACAATGAATCATGGAACACTACATCGAAAACTAATGATGTAATGTATGGTGATTAACATAACAAAAAAAAAAAAACTAAATGAAATTTGGGGTGCTTGGCTGGCTCAGTAGTAAGAGCATGAGACTCTTGATCTGAGGGTCGTGAGTTTGAGCCCCACATTGGGTGTGGGGATTACTGAAAATAAATAAGTAAACTTTAAAAAAAAATAAATGAAATTTAAAATACAATTCCTCACATTTTAAGTGCTTGCTAGCCACATGTGCTATTGACTACCCTATTGGATTGCACAGACCTAGAACATTCTCATCATCTCAGAAAGTTCAGTCGGACAGAGGTGCTCTCTAGGAATAGTTAGAAAATTGTGCTGATGCGGGCGCCTGGGTGGCTCAGTTGGTTGGGCGGCTGCCTTCGGCTCAGGTCATGATGCTGGAGTCCCGGGATCGAGTCCCGCATCGGGCTCCCTGCTCGGCGGGGAGTCTGCTTCTCCCTCTGCCCCTCCTCCCTCTCATGCTCTCTGTATCTCATTCTCTCTGTCTCAAATAAATAAATAAAATCTTTAAAAAAAAAAAAAAAAGAAAATTGTGCTGATGCTTAACATACATCAACTTATATGTAGCCCACAGTACCAGTATTTTACAAATTTGTTCAATTAGTGTGTACACTTTTTTGTTTTGTTTAGTGTGCACACTTTTTAATCCTTGAAGAATAATGTGTTGGACTGTCCCTGTGCTAGCTACTGAATATTTAAAGCAGGCTCTATGATTGACAACACTATGGTTTCACTTGCTGGGGAATAAAGCTCAGAAAGATGAAAATAAAAGATTAACTCTTATCTTCTTGCAAGTGATAAAAAGAAGTAGTCATCGTAGTTAAGGTCTTTGAGGCTGAGTAGGTGTTTGGGGTTTGGGAGCTAGTCACTACCACATGCACACGAGCAACATCACTATTAAATATTTACCTCACAGTGAGCAAACTGGAACCATTAACTGCCCTTTCTCGTTACAATGTGTGTATAAGTGAATGAGGCTGATAAGCAAGTATTTGTTGAGCTCTTTTTGTGTGCCTAGCTATATGAAAATACTAAGAACTTTTTAAGACACTTACAACTATATGTCTTGCATGAATATACTTTCATCCAAATTTCAATAATTAGAAAAATTGTGTTCAGCCTATTCTGCTTATTAAGATTTCAAATAATAATAATAGCAGGTAACTTTGTTCAGTACTCATTATGTGTACCGTGCTAGGTACTTTACACACATTCATTTAACCCTGGAAACAACCCTGTAAGGTACTATTATCCTTTTACGAATAAGGCAACAGCATTCAGAGGAATCATGTCTTCTGAGATCACACAGCTGGTCAGAGGCAAGCTGGCGCTTGAATCCAGATGTGTTTAACTCCAGAAACTGGACCTTTGGCTACTGCTGCATGCTATCCTTCCTATACTTAAGACAATTTGCAAAAACTAGGTCTAAAAACAGAAACGCTTCTAGCTAATTCTCAGTTGATCAGAAACGTAAACCAGCCTTCCCTGCCGTGCAGTCTGCTCCTTGGGATTGCTTTATATTACAGACCACTGTCTCTTTGATCTTCTCAAGGGCTCCTCTCCCTTGACTAAGCTGAGAATGTGCTCCCATGTCGACTGTCTACTTTGGTACCTATACAATATATGTAGGAATAATGAAAACAGTGTTGCCAGATTTAGAAAGAAGAAAAGATACCCAGTCATATTTGACTTTCAGATAAACAAAAAAAATTTTTTTAGGATAAATATATTTCTTGCAGTATTTGTATTTTAACTGGCAACCCTAACTAAAGATAGCAGTAGTTCCATACTAAAGGGATCAGTCACCCTATCATGTGATTTATAAGAAATTTTAACGGGAACATGCTAAATTAAAGATGGCCACAAATTCTTTGCTTTTCCTCCCATTGAGAAGATCACTTTATTCCCCTCCTTTTGAATCTAGGCTGGCCTTAGCGAGTCCCTTGACAAATAGAATGTGGCAAAGGTTACATTCTGTGATTTCTGAAGCTAGGTCACAAGAAGACTTGCAGCTGCCACCCGGGTCCCTTTGAACACTCTGTCTAGAAACCCTGAGCCACCAAGTAAAAAATCCAACTATCCTGCACCCACTGTGCTAAAGAAGATACATGTAGATGCACTGGCTGGCAGTCCCCACTGAGCCCAGACTTCTAGTCAACCCTGTCAAGCCACCTCATGTAAGCAAAGCCATCCTGGGTCCTCCAGACCAGCCTACCTGACAGGTGAATAGCACCAAGTGACTCACTTGATACCACATAGAGTAGAAGAAACACCTAGATCATGAGCTATAGTAAAACGGAGTTGTTTTAAGCCACTAAATTTTGGGGTCCTTTGTGACATAGCAATAGGTAACCAGAACAGAAGAAAACAAAACTATTTTATTATTTAATATTTAAATAATTAAGTGTACAGAATGCTATGAGTAGGGTGTTTTCTCACATTAGTAAGTATAATCTCATTTAAACCAATGCCAAAAGCATACTTAATGGTGAAGCAAAAGAGATCTCTCCATTATCATCGAAAATAAAAGAATGATTACTCTCCAAATTACCATTTAGATTTTCTAGAATTTTAGGCATATTTCAGTGAGCAGCAATACCAAAGTCATTTACTCGTTCAGGGTTCTGATCCCTCTGGTGGCCCAGCCTGTGATCCTCTCGATTCACCTATTACCCCAGCCATGGCTGAGCAATCTGTTTGCAGGTGAAACCTGAGAGCACCTGCTTCAGCTGCACCTCGTCGCTCTAGCTCTTCTGCTCTGGACCTTCGCAGATACTTGACACACAGTGGGATGCCTGCAGCAAACTACTTGATCCCCAGGCTTGGTACTGAAGGCATGAGGGCTTGGCCATGGGACCTGTGCTGTGGCTCGGGGCCTGTGCTCAGAATGGCCCCAGGCTTGGTGCAGGCTCATCTATCACTTTCTGGAATTTCTTAATACTTTTTGAACAAGGATCTGTAATTTTATTTTACCCTGGGCCTCACAAATTATATATCTGGTCCTGCATGCACCCATGGAAAGGCGAGCCCTTGACCAGAGCTGCAAATCAGATCGGGTGGGTAGGTACCCCTTCCTCTGTCCCTTGAATGGACGGTTCTGAGATTCATTCTGCATAGTTGCGTAGAAGATGCCCATCACCATGATCCCCGGTCCACTGCAGTGGCCACATGAGAACAGATATTACTATCGACGGCATTCCTCCTTTCCTGGGATCATTTCCCAAAATGCATGCAAGTCCTGGGAGCAGACTCCATTTTCTAGGAAGAACTCAGGCTGTTCTTCACATCCTTTCCATGCCACCATCCTAGATAGCAGGGATTCAGATAGAAACACAACAAAGTTTCCTGCCATCGTAGAGTTTACATTCCAGGTGGCAAAGACATAGCAAATAAGTGAACAATAAGCAAAATTATTACAGATTGTGGTAAGTGCCATGAAGAGCTCAAACAAGATGCTCTGGCTAGGGCAGGATGGGGATTTGCATATTGGATATGAGGCCTGAATAATGAGGAAGTGAACATAGGCCAAGGGGCTGGAGTAAGAATGTTAGGCAGAAGGGTAGAAAGTCCAAAGGCTCTTGGTGTGTTCTAGGGACAGAAAAGAAGGCTGAGTGGTGGGAGCCCAGAGAGCAAGGGAAACAGAGGTGCTACAAGATTTTGGAGGTAGGAAGGGACCAAGCACATGGGGCCATGTTAAGGAGTCTGTGTTTTATTCTAAGTGGCACAGGGAGCCACTGAAAGGTTTTTAATAAAGGAGTGCATTCTGATTTTGGCTTTTAAAATATTAGCCTGTGAGGAGAATGGATTGGCAGGGAGCCATTGAGAAAGCTATTGTAGGAATCCAAGTGGGAGTTGCTGGTGGCTCCGAGGAAGGCAGGAGCAGGGAAGATGGGGAGGAGGGAGGAAATGCGTCAAGGAAGATGCACTAAGGGCCCTTGCACATGATCCGAGGTCCCACCTTTGTTCCAGTAGGACCAACATGTTCCTACTGGAACAAGAAGCATGTTAGCACTTCTCTCCTCAGTGCAGAGGCTTTGGCCACTGCCATGTCCTCAGGGAGGGAGGAGGGAGAGAAAGGAGCAGGACTCTGGCAGAGGGAAAGGGAACAAGGAAGGTTGCAGATGACTGACCACAGTCCATCTGGAACCAGCGCTCAGGGCTACAGAAACTGCTACCCAGAGGCCTCCTTCGCCTGTTCTCAGATAAGCACCATCTCACTCCACCCTCCCCTCCCTGCCCCCACTCTGGTTGTTGTCAGAGTGGAGGACAAGGAAGGACAGATGGCTTTAGACATTGTGTCTTACACACATTTTCAGCAACTGACAATATCATTGAAATAGAAATAGGAGATAAGTTTATTTGAAAAAAATTAACATTATTTCCAGATGATCTGATTATGTACCCAACTGACTCAACCAGAAACCAGAAACCTTCTAGAATTCCTAAGAAACTTCTTCAGAGTTGTCAAATACGAAGTATCCAGAAATCTGTATATGCCCCATTTACCAGCAATAAGTTAGATCATATAGAGGGAGAAACAAGTCCATTTATAATATATAAATATTAAAAGCTGTAGAAATAATCCTAGCAAGAAATGTATAGGCCTATATGAAAACAACCACAAAAACAAAAACAGCAAACGTATAGAATTTTTAAAATAAAATTATAATCAATGAAGAAATATTCCTTGTTCCTAAAACAAATTAACTTATGGGTTTAACACAAATTTAATTAAAAGGATTTTTTATGTGTGGGAACTTGATAACATGATATTAAAATAAAGTAAAAGAATAAGCATTCAGAAACTTCTTGGGGTGCCTGGGTGGCTCAGTCATTAAGCATCTGCCTTC